TCTTCTGACTTTGGAGGAGAATGCCCGCCTCTCTCTCTAGTGTTTTGAGGGTCGCAGGTAGTGCAGGTTCGCAACCGGAGTATGCAAAAATCTAAGGCTAGGGCTCTTTCCGTTCAGGGCTGGCCTGGCAAGGCTTTTTCCGTTGTGGCCACATCCGCGGCACGAGGGTCGACGACCCGAAGAGTCCACTTATTTCATGCCCTTCCCAAGCTACTAGTAATAAGTGGATTGCTAACAGTAACAAGAAGCTACTAGTAACAAGTCCTGTGCCATCCCATGCCTATACACCACAGTTGCACGGAATCCTAGCTGCTGGCCTGCGGGATCTCCTGCGGAATCTCAGGTCGCGGCCTGGCGACGCCAGTTTGGGTCAGCTTCGGAGACAAGTGTTTGGCACCCATGCTCTTCACCCAAATTTTGTGCCAAAGGCGTTTGGCACATTCGGGCACCATCTATCAAATAGATGGTAAAATATATCAGCATAGACCCCAGACAGTTTCAGCGTTATGTTCTTGGCGTGAGATCCTTGAATTCCAATGTCTGTGGTCACGTCTGCAAGCAAATTTGGCATTGAACAAAAAACAGTCAGAAAACAATGGTTCCCGATTCCTGAGGTTGTCACAAGTGTAAGTACGAAGGGATACACACACACACATACTGTATATATATATATATGTCATGAGAAAAGCCGCAGATGACATCAAATGCTGGACCACTATCCCATTCATAAAACATACCTGGCGGCCGTGGCCAAGCAAGGGATAAGGCCAGGAAAAAGGGGTGATGAAGGGCTGCAAGACCAACCCGGACAAGACCTGGACAAGGACTGGTGCCTCGGGGCATGAAGTGGTTCTCTCTTGAGCAAGGTTTCAGCCATGTCCTGGCGACCCAGTTCTTGAGCCACCTCAGAAGGCAGGACAAGAGCAGGACAACTGACAAGAACAGCGCGGCAGAGGACGACAGGAGGACGAGGAGGACACAGGGTTGGCCAGCGCGGCCAGAGGACAAGAGAAGGACAAGAAGAAGACAAGAGGACGACAAGAGGAGGACAAGAGAAAGACAAGAAGAGGACGCAGGGTTGGCCAGCGCGGCCAGAGGACAAGACCCGGACACAAAGCCTTACTTGTGTCCAGGGGCGCGGCCAGCCAGTGTGGCCAGCTCTTCTTTCGTAAGAGAGAACCCCAACAGTAAACTGTTTGGGGAAATGCATAAATGTAATTTATAACCTGTTGCCATGCAAGGGTTTGTGATATGCAAAGAGGGTTTCCCGATTCAAAAAGAATTGCCTTTGGAATGGTCCAAACCACTGGCTGCCTTGGCCGTGGAAGCGGCCGCTGCGGTGAGTCCGGTGGCTGAGCAAAGAGCGCCTAGTCGATGGGATTCGATGGGCCAACGGTGCCCGCAGAGCCACCAATTGCTGAACATCACGCTGAAGCCTTCGACTGACATTCAACTGCCGGGCGTGGTACATGAACCTCTTCCTTAGCTGCTTAGCTCAAAACGCTTCAAATAAAAAAAAGAAAGAGAGAGAGAGAGAGAATGAACGAACAGCACCCAAATACTCCCAAATTTAAAAAAGAAAAGCAGTGGTAAACAATTCTATCGCTCAAAACCACTTCGCTTCATCTATTAGCCAGCCCCAAACAAAACCAAACATAAGACGAAGCGCAGTGGGCTCAATGATGGTATCTTGTGCAAAGGCCGCAGGAGCTGCTGGCCCCTTGGGAGCCGGAGCTATGAAGATCGCTGACCTGTTTGGCAAAAATTTGCCATAACACACATGCCTTGAACGTCTTTGCCTTGAAAATACGTTCAGGAAAAACATGTCGAGAATCGAGAAGCACTTCATCTCAAGACAAGGCCTTTCTGAAGGTTTCTCCGGACTGGTGCTGTCATTCACGCTTGCCGGCATGCACACGTTTTCAAGGTTCGGCTCTGCAGCCTCAACGCACTCGACCGTGACGAATTGCTTTGCACCGTGTCTTCAATGCACAGCCGGCCTTGTCTGTCACCACCTCTGCATACACTCCACCTGTCGCAAGTACAGGCCATACAGACGATACCCACTTACTTCGGGTGGATTGGCTTTGGCCTGGCAGCGCTGGGACCTGCTCGGCTGCCGGCCCTGAGGAGCGAGCGAGCGAAGTGCAACACTTCCCCAGTCGGAGTAAACAAAAAAGAATGAACATAGAACCATAATAAAATCTATAGACACTAATAGGAATTTCAAAAGTTGTTTTAAAAATAGAGAATTGAATGAGTCGTTTGTTCTGTTCTTCATTCTTTCCCAGCTTCGACATGAGAACATCAACATCGTGACAATCTTGCCTATGGGTCCACGACGCAGTGTTCGAACAGGAGAAGGTGCCTAGCAAGCGAACTGCTGGACCAATGTGCCGGCGGCGAGTGCCATTTTGGGTGAGCCTGGCTACCTTATGCCCCCTGCACAGCTTTGAGCCACAACAATCTACGACATCTTTGTAGTTTTTGTACTGGTGCTTGTAAGACTGCAAGGGGCTGTTGTTCTTTTCAGGATGTGCATCTGCACCAGTGCGTGCACTGCAGCACCCAACCAAGCTCGGAACAATATGTGACGATATACAAGAAAATTGCAAGTGCACATGTCTCTAGGACTCTAGGAAGGTGAGCTTGGCTTGGCATGATGTTCGTTGTGGCCCAAATCCCGTTGTTAGCACTGTGGCCCATTTCTTTTTGTAACGTCTCTCCAGCAATCTCTGATCGTCTGGCGGCAGGTCTTTGGAACTTTAAGACAGGCTCTTGGTTGAACTGAGTTTTAGACTACACGGCGGACAACGATAGAAAAGAACCACTTCAGTGCTCCATTTCTTGATGCGTGTGCAGATATGCCACGGCTTCTTGGAGAGACCGAAATGCCTGGGCAATGCGTTCGATGGGGCTGATCTCATCCTTGCAACGGAACAACCAGCAAAACAGCTGCCATTCAAAGAGCAAACCAGGATCCTTCGAAAAGGTGATCCTGAGGAGTTGTCAGCCCCTAGTAGCGTTCTTGCTCCCAGCAGCGATGCCAGGAGCCCCTAGTAGCGTCCTTGCTCCTATTCCTAGTAGCGATGCCAGGAGCCCCTAGTAGCGTCCTTGCTCCTAGTAGTAAGGCCAGGAGCCCCTAGTAGCGTCCTTGCTCCCAGTAGCGATGCCAAGAGCCCCTAGTAGCGTCCTTGCTCCTAGTAGCGATGCCAGGAGCCCCTAGTAACGTCCTTCTCCTAGTAGTAAGGCCAGGAGCCCCTAGTAGCGTCCTTGCTCCTAGTAGCGATGCCAGGA